CTCTCTCAAACCCCTGAGAGACAAACCCAGGAGTGCTTGGTTCGACTTGGAGTAAGTAAGTAAGCATTGCCTAGCCCCCCAGCTGTCCTAGGAGAGGCTGTGCTGTGCTGCTGGGGTCTAGACCCTTTCACTTCTCCAAGAAGGCTACCTCAGTCTTCACAGGATGTCAAATGAGTTAATGTTTATTAGCCGCTGAAAACAGTGTCTAGTAATGCTGCTTGCCACAGAAGAACATGTTAAATTAAAAAAAAAAAAAAAGACTGACCTAGGACTCTGAGGGTATTGGAGTCCAAGCTGACAAATTCTCATTTTGAGGAAAGCAAGCAAGAAGTTGCTGCTGACTCAGTCCCTGGTTTTCCAGAAAATAAGCATAGTCAATATGGAGTCAGCTGATGATGGTGAAAACAGTATCCTGAGAACAATAAGCCTTAAGGTGGTCCTGTCTGTCTGGCCTGGGCAAGGCCCCCAACTTCTGTATGTCTTCCCACAGCTTTCAAATAAAGAAAGTCATCAATGTCACTATAACAGAACTGTTGGGAGGGACATACAAGAAAATATTCGTGAAAGAGCTTTGAGGAGCATAGATCCCACTGGCTTTCACTGAGAACGATTCATTATGACCCCTCCATTTGTGTGGGTCTCTCAGACATGACATCTGTACTTCCTTAAATTAATCCCAGGCTCCATATTTTTTGGCCACAGTTTCTCACCAATACTCTCAACTCAGCTCTTCGACTTCTTGTATCCCACCTCATACGGCAGACTCCTTGTCCACACTTACAACTTTCTTTTTCTCCCCTTCATAACTCAGCTTCTTGAAACTGGAGTCCTGACTCACTGCCTTTGCCACCATTCCCTGCATCTGCTCCTGGCTTCCACCTGCACCTCCACACTGCGGTGACTCTTGCCGAGATCACCCACTGAGTCACTGGAGCAGGTTAGTTCCAGCTCTTGAGAACTGATTGGGTGCTTCTCCACGCAGGTCCATGTTTGTGACATCATGTTGGTAACTTCAGGCACCATGGCAGGAGTATTTACAGCACAGAAATTGGCAAACACTGTAAAGCAGTGCTTTACCCCTGTCCAAAGAGCTGCTGGCTAAAGGTGTATGAGCAGACCTCTGCCAGTGACCTTCTAGCTATTGAGGGCAAAAAGACACTTTCCAGATTTTTCTTACTTGGCTTCATCTTCAGTGGGCTTCCTTTCCTTCAATTTTTCCTCCTACTTTTCTGGTCACCTCTCTGCTTTAGTCTCTTCCATAAGCTTTTATTTAACTCATTTTTCAACTACAGTTGTTTTCTGGCGTTGTCTTCTTTCTCTGTATAAACTTCATAGAGGACATTTTGTATTCTTATCATTTCAACAATTCTGAAAACAATTCTTAACCCTTCCCTATTCCTCACGTTTTATACCAATTCAGTGTCAAGTCCTGCTAATTTCATCTCTTACATAGCTGGCAAATTCTTCTCCTCGCCATCTTCACCGCCAATACATAATCCAAGCCACTATCACCTCCATCCTGGACCACTGCAATGGCATCCTCATTGCTCTCCATGTGGTTATTAATGTCATCTGAGCCAGTCTCTGAATTTAGGCCACAGTGAATTTTACACAACACGAAATGGATGAATATCTCTCTTCTTGTCCCACCCTACTTTAACCCATTCAATGACTTTCTGTTGCTCTTAGTATAAGATCCAAATCCTTAGCACAAACAGGAAAGCCCTGCATGTTATGGCTCTGTCCTCCAGTGTCAGCTCAAATCTTATAGTCTGGCCACCTCTGGCTTCCTACAGACTGTGTTCACTTGGGAAACAGACTTAATGTAGACACTGTTCCCTCCATCTGGAAACCCTCCCCCTTTCAAGTCTTACTCATGGCTAGCCTCAGCTCAAAAGTTACTTTCAAGGATGACTGCCCTAGAATCTCCAGATTAGGTGGGGTTTCCCCATTAGATGTCCTTAGAGTACCATACAGCTCTTCTTCACAGAAATTATCCCAGTTACAACTATTTAGCTGTGTGTGTTCCTTCCTAAGAACATAAACTCCAGGGCTATATTTTGTCTCTTCTTATATTTTCAGTACATAAGTCAAATATGTTTTCAATGCAAGAAATATGCCTTTCAGATCTGTCCCTGCAGTCTCTCTTCTGAATGTCTGATCTAATTGTCTGCTGGCGATTTTACCCAATTGTTCAGTTCCGCATCTTGGAGTCATCCCTGATTCCTATATTTTCCTCACCTCCTGGGACCTTAGCCAGTCCTAAATCTGATCTGATGCATCTCCAAGTATATCCACCGGCTCAGCCAGACAGCATGTTCCTTCTGTTGGAAAAACAGAACCTACCTAGGCGGCTGTCTTGCTACTTCCCAGACTATGAGAGTCTCTTCAGGATCAACAATGTAATTTATTAAAAAATAAATTGCAAAGGGGAAAAAAAAAGAGATCAAAGGTAAACCTATAGATTAAAAGACATTTAGTTATATCAACCAATTACCGTTGTGTGAGGTTTTATTTAGATTCTGATTTAAATTGTAACAAAATTATGATCATAAGACAATCATAAATTTTAACTGATGGATATAAGGAACTATTGATTTTTGAGATGTGATGATGATATATTTAAACATTTTTAGAAATGCACAGTGAAATATTTACTGATGAAATATGATGTCTGGAATCTGTTTCAAAACAATAGAGAGAAGCAAGGAAGTGGGTGAAGGTATAAATAAAGTTTTCTATAAATTGTTGTAGTTGGATGGTGGGTACACTGGGGTTCATTATCCTACTCTTTCACATGTTTGAAAATTTTCCTTTAAAAGATTTTTTAAAATATCCAGAATGTGACCTATTTTTACTATTTTCACTACTCCCAACCTTGTCCAAGCCCTGAGATCTCTCACCTGGACTGCACCAGCCTCCTGACTCCGCTCACCCTACCCTTGCCTTGTCCTGCCTTTTCTTCACTACACTGCAGTGAGTGACCCTTTAGACACAATAGATTTCTTCTCTGTATAAACCCTGTATCAGCTTCTCATTTCGCTTGTACCTTGTGGTACATCACTGTCTTTACCTCCTAACATTCAGTCCCTCATCTGCTTCCTCGTCACCCATCTGCCATCGGGATAGAAGCATTCTCTGACAAGGTCCAAGATGCTCTCTTGGCTAACCACCTCCACCCCAAGTCCCAAGCTCTTGAGGACAATCCACACTCATCCATGGTTCCATTGTTTTTGCCACTCTACCTGGACCTGCCCCCACTGGGAAGTCCAGACTCTGTTAGCCCCTGTTCAGTGCCTTTCTCTACTTTGGTTCTGAGCCTCTAAAAGCCTAGGCCTTTGTTTTGCAACTATCTACTGTCTCATTGATCTCCTCTACACACTTAAGTTTCACAAAGGCGCAGATTCCTCCTATATCTGTAACCCTAACCTTGATAAAATGACGGCCTTTCAAAATGAAGCACATTTGAATAAATTAATTAAAACTTTATGTAAGCATTAGTATCATTTAAGTACCTTTCAGTCTGTATAGACCAAATTTTAACAGGAGTAACATAACTCTATAACTACATGGTATTCATAACTTTTAAAATTATTGAAAAATGTGCTTGACTTCTTAGCAAAAGCCTAAACAGATCTGTTGTCTTCAAAGTCAAACTGTAATAATAATAAAAAATGTAATCATATTTCTGTTATCAGTTCTTCCATTAGTAAATTTGGTGTGTTTAGATTTAAAAATTGCACCCCAAGTCAACTCACCTGTTCACTAATAGTCTTGCTTGAAGAATCAGGGTCAAAGGGCGCATACTGGGGAGGGGGGAAGAGGTTTAAGGGGGCTGCTCCCTTATGAAGGGAGATCAACAGATGGCCAGGATTTGGGAAGGGCAAGGTGAAGAGTTCTCAAGTATAGCGGAAGCAGAAGTGGCAGAATTGTGGCCTCTGCAATGAGGAACTGACGGAGGCAGAGGGAGTTGAAGGAGTGCAATCAATGGGCGATGAGAAAAAGAGGAAAGTGAGCAATAGGGATGAAAAATCTGGGGAAATAAAAAGAATATGTACAAACAGGATTGCCTCGCATAATTTTTTTTATGCTTTTAATAGTTACTTTCTCAATTGTTACAAGTTCTTTCATTATTAGATCTTTTGCTGTGTTAGATAGTGAAGTTAGCGGATAGCAGTTACCATTTCTTTTGGGGGGGGGAATTGGTTTGGATTGCTCTTCCAATACACAACTGATGCTACCTGCCAGCCATTAGGAGGACTGGAAATTTGAGTTCTTTCCCCTGTATCAGTGATGGATGGTGCTGCTGAATGTGCCACTCCCTTTCCTGTTACCAGTGGTCATCTTGTAACTAACTGCATGCATCTGAAGATAATTAGTTAAGGTTTGGAGACAGTCTGATGAATTGGATCTATTTTCTTTATGTGAAAAATCACTGGTTTCTAATAGCATCATTATTTCTACTTCATATTCTTAAAAGTATACAAACTCTTCAGAATTGACATTACAGGGCAATTTAACAATTTCCCAAGATATAAGAGAAGCCAAATGCCCTTAATAGTGAGGTCTAAGTAAATCAGTGGTGAATCTGGGGAGGCGAGACTAACACGCCTTCTCTGTTAAGCTGGCTCCACAGCTGTCATCGTCACAACCACGATCCTATAAAGCTGCATTACTTTCTCATGTCTCTCTCTTCACTCTCTATTCAGTTTACATTAAGCATTTTTGCCTTAGGCACGAGAAGGAACAAAAACATGGAGGCAGGCAATCTGGCATGGGAATGCTGGCTCTGCCTGCCTGTGGTACCTTCTCAGTTGCTGTTACATGTGGATAATGAAGTCTACTTCCCAGGGTTGTTTGGGGAAGGACTGAATGACAACGGCCCCATGTAAAGTACTTTGCCAAATACCTGGGACTCAGTAAGTGTAACTTGTTTCCTCCAGATGGGTGGAGCAGAATGCTTCCAGTACTCCCTGATTGATGATAAGCTCTAAATCATAAGAACATGTTAATCGCTGCTTTTGTTTTTTTCAATATCATATTCCATTTGAGCCCTAAGAACATAAGTAGATACCATGGAATGCAACAAGAAATAGAAACACACCGAACGAATAATATGTGAAACAATGATGTGACTCACACAGCTGGAATAGCTGCTTGGCTGCACAAAAGAATTAACATTAAAACATTTAAAAAGAGACTTTACATAGGAATAAGCTATTTTAATCAAGCAAAAACAAATTTATAGTCATTATTTCTAAAAATAAAATTAGACTTTCCAACCCTTAACATCTGCATTTAATAATATCTTCTAACCAAAATACAGATGCTAAAACAGCAAATTACAATGTATCTTGTACAGCATACAGTATGTTCACTGCTTACACTTACTTGAATTCTAGTTGGTCATTATGTACTCAATGCATACTTAAACATCACTCATAATAAAATTTTCACAATTAACAAAAAGTGTGACAAGGCTGTCTTAAAACGGCTCTGCTATAAATTGTATAGAATATACAGAATTACAAAGTCAAGTATTTTTTTTATCAAAATATACACCCCTCCCTGAAACTAACACAAGCTATCAACATTTTAAACGAATGATACAATTATAGAAAATATTTGCAAAATTATTTTTTCATGTATAAATATTCTGCCATATTTACTTTGGTCTAGAATTATCAGCATACAAGTCCACTTAAAAAATATCCACATGTAAGGGCTGGGAGACATCACTACATGTAATAATTTTATATCTGAAGTTCCCCCAAATCAAACATGACTAAAATACACAATAAATTCTCCTTGATTTGTAATTCTAATTGAGATAAACAAATTAGTAGATCACAGGATTGTTTAGTCAAGATCTTAATTATCAATTCAAAAATGGTCTTCGTAAGCCCTTGGTGACTATCTCTTTAACAAAACTCAAATGAATAGTGCAGGTATACATATATACAATGTATAAAATAAAGTTGAATTTGCTTGCATGTCCCCATTTTCCTCTATTATATAATACTGTAAGTAAAAGTAGATGAACAAAAGATAAATGCAGATACATATTGGGGTTATTTAACAGCAAAGTACTACAGTATAAAAAGGTCAGCTTTAATCAAGTCCTTTTCTGAACATTTAAATGCTTTCTTGCCCACCCAAATTCATATTAAGTCTTCTTTATGGAGACATCGCCACACTTGGAGAGAGAAACTGGAGTTCTTTGAGCTACTTCTTCATAACGATAACCTAGCAACCATGGATAACCTTGGGTTTCCATCTATCAAATCTCATAAATATTAATGATGGCAGCTCATCTTTAAACTGGTTCTGGATTCTGCCCATGCCAGTGATCAAAGGGCAGGACTGTTTTCTCTCTCCTGCCTATTCTGACAGTTTAAAAAGAACCATGAGTTCCCAGGAACCTAGTTCACGTGATAGAATATCCTACAGGACAATTAGACTCTGAGGGCAATGTTGACAGTGTGGGTCAGTGTAAAAGGACATTAAAAAACTTAAGTGGGTTTTAGCAAGGGAGCTAGATGTCTGCAAACATGAAGACAAGGCTTTGTGGATATGTTTCTGAGCCCCAAATGTAAGGGCTAAAGCCTTGTCATTCTATATTCTATGTCCTGATGCCCCCAAAACAAAGCAAGGAATAACATCGTTCCTCTTGCCCATTCAAACCATTAAAAGGCAGGGTTGGGGGTGCTTCTGTGGCCTTCTTCTTTTGTACTAGTATGTACTCGTGGGCTGCGTCATCTCCAAGAAGGTTAACAATTGTAGGGATTAGGCTTTCTCTCACTTTCAAGTCCCTTGGAATTTACCTCTATGTGCGTGCCTTACACTAAATTTCCTGGATACTCCTTTAGCGGAATGGGAGGCTAGGTTTCACTTGAAGCCTAGCCTGGTTAAGTCTGTCTGGACTAGACCTCCACATCCACAGCCTTGGGATGGATGGAAGAAGACTGCAGGGAGCTTCAGAAGAATTTGACCTGTCTTCATTTTCAAAGGGGAGGTCATTATAAAGTAATACACACACAGGAAATCACAGGTAAATTCTGGGAAGGCTTTCCCCATAGATAAGGCATGACCTAGGTTTTCAGTGACTTGAGTAGATCAGTTATAACAACAACTCAGCCATAACTTCAAGAGAACAGCATTCCATCTACGAGGGTACACATGCTCTTAAGTCATATTCAAAATGTTTTCTACTGATTTTTACATCAGTCCTTCTTATTTGCAGATCTATTGCTCATCATTAAACTTCTCTACAGGGGAAATGGACAGTTAAAAGTTATAGTGATTTATATATGTATTTTACAAGGTCTGTGTTGCAGAAAAGTAGTTCTAGATAACGCATGGATATCCTACTTAGGTTACTCATTTCACACATATTTTCAGCTATATTAAGTATTTCATATGTATCCATTAATTGAAACAATTTTAATAGTGCAGAGCTGGATGGGTATAATGACTATCATAGCTCATTTACCTTTTAACATATTTATGAAGATGACATTTTCATGATATCTGACCCTTATTTTCTCCAGTGACTAAAGACAGTTCAGCAGCCAGTTCCTATTAGCACTTACTAGAAAGTTTTAAATTAGACAAAAATTAAACTTTTTTCACTGGCAGAAATACCACAGCTAAGAACTTCATAAACTTTCACAAGATACTTGGGATAATGGAAGATTCAGCCATTTTGTTTTTGTGCACTTTACATTAATGAAATTAATGCTACACCCCAAAGTAGATATTAGGATTTTTTTTTTTCTGGAACTTTCACAAATGAAATTTTCTTTTTACATTTCACTCCTTCATGACTTAATGTGAACAAAACTAAACTAAAAACAAAAGAAAACAAAACAACAACAAAAAACCCAAACCAAACCCACCAACTTCTATTTTTTGAAGATTTTTCTAAGTCTCACCACTCAACGCACATTTTCAACAATGGTTTGTACATTATCCTTTTGGTCATTGTCTTCTGAATCAATGAAATGTGGATTCTCCTGGGGACTCGAGTTTTCGTGGCACATTTCACCTTCTGTTTTCTCCCGCTGAGTTGGGCTTTTGAATAAGTGTTTCTTCTGGTGCATTCCAAGGGCAGCAGCTGTTTTGCAAATTTTGGGGCACTGGAAGCAGGCGTAGCCCTTCCCATTATGCTCCCGAATATGTCTCTGCTCATGATTCCTTTTCGTGGAGAGATATAAAAAACTCTGAAAGCAGAACTGACAGTGGTAACGCTTTTCGCCAGTGTGGATTCTCTCGTGGATTTTGAGGGTCTCATTCAAGGTGAACGCCTTGTTGCAATACTGACAGATGAACTCCTTCACACCCAGGTGGATGCGTTCGTGTTTCTGTAAGTTTCCTTGCACAGAAAAGCACCGCCCGCAGGTCTTGCACTGGTATGGCTTCTCGCCAGTGTGGCACCTCATGTGCATCTTGAGCGTGGAGGGGCTCTGGAACTGCTTGGCGCAGAGCTCACACGCGTATGGCCTGGCAGTGAGATGCCGGTGGGGCCTTCCTTGGCTCCCGGCCCCTGAGGCCTTTTCTCCATCGCACAGTTCACACTGCAACTTGGGCATCTCTTTGTTTTCTTCTTCCTCAAAGGCCTTCTCCTGAGGGGCCTTCCCCACAGCGCAGTCCAGTTCTGCCGGGTATTTACACTTACTGTCCCGGCTCTTACTTTCGTGTTCTTTCCTCCAGTTGACTTTCCTCATTTTTCTCAACTGTCTGGATTTCTTTTTGGGTTTGTAGTTATAATAAGGGCGCCAGGGCTTGTCACTGGAATCCTGGTCACTTGCCTCATCGAACATTTCGCTCATCTCCACACATTCAGATTGGCAGAGCCCAAGCGGGCTGTCTCTGTGGGTTTCCAGGTCGCTCTCTTGTGGCACAGTCTCCTCCTGCACTTGATACTTGGGTCTCCTCCCTCTCTTATAGAACAATTTAGAGCCCAGGATATGCCTTTTCACAATGGCTTCATTCCCGATCTTCACAGTTATTTGGCAAAGGGGCGCGACGTTGCTATTTGTGGAGGTTCCGGGCAGAGCTGGCTTTGCAATGTAGGTTTCAATTTTACTAGTTTCTTTAACAGTATTTGTACTTTTGCTCAACGACCCTCCAGGATCAGCAACGTATTTCGACTCCTCTGGTGTCTCTCCCCTGTTACTTGGTGTGGTTTTCTTTTTCTCCTTAATGCCTTTGGGTCTGCTCACTACTCGACCTACTTTGTCTGGCTCAGGTTTGCTGTCATCTTTCAGGGGTGGACTGACAGTCGGCTCTGCGGGGGCTCTGTGGTTGCTGCTGGTCATGGCAGCGACAGTGTTGCTGTGCATTATCACGGATGAAAACTGGCTACTGTGCACGATGACCGAGGGTGCTGAGCCACTGTAACTGATCACAGAGGCAGAGTTCTCACCGCCGTTACCCAAAGACAAAGCAGGCACATCTCCTGCCGGGAGGTCAGAACTGACAGCGTTTTCAGTGGAAGCAACAGACACCTCAGTTGAATAAAAGTTATTGTCAAGATCCATTTTCAGTGTCTCTTCTCCCCATTTGGTACCTTCTGCGTTTGGTACATTGGCAGGAGTGGGTATGTCCTGACAGGCAGAGGTTTCCAATGGGATGGCTGGACTGTTGGTCAGTGTGCTCACACTGTCTTGGAAATTCAGTGTTGGTAACTCAGAGCTGCGAGGAGTCTGAATAACATAGGTACCAGGAGCAGACTCGCTCATCTGACCGTTTTCTCGAGCATTTTCATAAGAAGAATTTCGATAGCTCTTATAAGGTGCCCTCTTGCATTTCATTGGCAGAAGCCTATATAGTTTATATGGATAGACACTAGGCTTCAAGCCTCCATTTGCCGTTTTTTTACTGATGGAAAGTCTATGATCTATGGCATGGAAAGACTTCTGATGGTTTTTGAGTATATAATAGGTCATGAAAGTCTCAAGGCAGAAAATGCACTGATACCGCCTTTCTCCCGTATGCCAAATTTCATGTCTTGTCCTGTATTCAGCCAACGCAAATACTTTGTTGCAATAATGGCAAGGATATGTTCTTCTCCATGAGTGGACATTTGCATGTCTTCGGAGGCTGGACAAAGTCACGTAACTACGTTTGCATACAACACAACTGTAGAGCATCTGCCCATTAACAAATTTAACCATGTGGTCTGTTTCTGGCAAGATACTTCCGGTACTGGAAAATTCACCAATCCTATTTTCAGATAATAAAGACTCTGGACTGGTGAATGCACCTCCATTCTGTCCAATGGTAGGATAGTTTTCCAAAAAGCGCTGATTTCCTCCTGGAATGGGCATGTGACTTGACCTCATACAGATCTGCTCGTGACGATCCAACCTGTTCAGGGTGCTGAATTGTTTGTTGCAGTACTTGCACACCAACGGCTCCTGTGTTGGCTTGTGAAGCTGCATGTGAGCATTGAGCAAAGCACTACTGTCAAAGGATTTAGAACAACAGCTACAGTTGTAAACGAGAGGAGGAACCTCCACAGCTGGTGGCCCGGGGGAGTCGGAGGACTTATTTTCATCTTCCCTGGGAAGATGGACCTCCCCTTCATTGTTGGGAGGTCTGGAACAAGAAAGGTCTGCAGCTGGCTCGGGACTTTTCTCTTGATTAGTCTCTAAGTTGGTTACTGGAGGAGGTGGTATATTTTCTGCACTTGAATCAGAATCCTGGGGAGCGGAGAGTGTCTTTGGCTTTCGGCATGTTTTCGGTTTTGCTGCAAGAGTTTCACAATTTTCTTTCCCTGTTTTAGCAGGTGTACTGCTGTCCTGCTCACGCACTGGCTGACTTCTGTAAGCCTCGGTCACCGAAGAGACAGCATAGGAGTGTTCTGCGAGGGTCCGGACGGGCTCCGCCTCATGGCAGACGTCTGTCCGCTCTAGGCAGAGGCTTGAGGTTCTCATGGAATCAGAGACCTTTTTGAAGCTTGCCCTCAAGTCCAGCGGAGAAAACATATTATTACTATTTTCCGTTTCAATGATGGAAAATGCATTTGTGATCCTTGGCCCATTAGTGATGGCTGGTTCTTCGTGCCTTTTTTCATTTTTTTCTTCTTTGACCACTCCCTTTTCAGTAATGCAGAATACATAGGGACCTGGGGAATTGGAGAAGTTGCGATCGGTGAGATCTTCCAAAAAGGATATTCCCAGCTTCTTTCCTGCAGCTGCAAGATCAGTGACCGTTTCCTGTCTCTTGACGACAACTGTGGAGCTGTAGATATAATTAAGGATTTCTGTAAACACTTCAGCTTTGAGATCATCCAGTTCCAGGACATGGCTGGAAATACAGATTGTATGGCTCCAAAAGATATTTTTGAAATACAGGCTTGAAGCAGCCAGGACATTACTGTGGGCTTTAAATTTGGTGTCTTCCACGATGATAGTGACATCACATAAAATGCCCCTAATGCGCTGCTCATTCAAGATGGAGAGCACTGTGTCACTGTGAAAGTCGTCCTTGAGGTCCCTGGAAAGGGACATGACTGTCATCTGAAACAAAAAGAAAGAAATGGTCAGACACCTTTCCACATGTAGCTTTTTTATTAGTAGGCTATTTTTAATTTCTTTGAAAAACTTTGTATGAAAATAGAGGTTTTTTTTTTTTTAAAAGATTTATTTATTTGTGCATAGAAGAACTGGGGTGCAGATCAGAGGGGTTGAGGGGGTAAGAGGATTCACCAGAGACAGAGTGGGGAACAGAACAGGCAGATCTACTGAAATACACTGCTGAGGGGAGCAGCGGGTGAGACAGGAGAGGTCTGCTGCAACATCTCTGGATTAGCTCCCTGGCTGGGAATGGAACTGGGAATGGAACTGAGGCCCTTGTGGTGATAGTGCTGAGACTTAACCACATCGCCACCAGGAAGGCCCCCTGAAAATATAGGCTTTTTTCTCACTCTGTGGTTGCTCCCAAGACTTGAAGTCAACATTAGAAGCTAAATCATTATTTCACTCCAGTCTGCTTCTCATGCCATTGCTAATAGTTGTTATAGTTGGACATCCTCCCAGAATTCTTAGTTCTTCTTTTTCCAGTATTATAGTTATATCCATATGGGCCTGAATTTGTAGGGAGGAAGATCCGCCTTCCTCTAAATGTAAAGGGTCATTATCACTCAAGGCTGCTGCACTGAACTGAGAGTTGGGCAATGCCGTGATCCTGTCACCAGTCTCCTTCCTATTGTCAAAATAGCCTTGATGGTCTGATCCAAACACTGTTCATGAGACAGGAAAATGACTTAAAGAGGTTTTTCCCTAAGTAAGCAGTGCCTATATGTAAAGGCATTGTTTGCTCAGAGAAGCAGCTGGAAAGATAGTAGCCTACGGTATGGCTGAGAGGTCTCTTCAGGGAGTCTCAGCCAGTGTGACCCAGTCCCAGCACAAGGGTTACCCTGCTGTCTGGGCCAGGGGCCCTTTTGTGGACTCATCTCATTCTTCCTCTGATTTCCCCTTCATTTTGGCCCAAGCCAACTAGGGTTTTCAAAAGGAACTCTGAGGTAACGAGGCAAACAAAAATGAAATGAAACATGAAGGAAAGAAGGTTTCTGAGTTTACAATACTCAGCCCTGTCAGATTTCTAAATTAGCACAATTGAAAGGCAGAGTAGCTCTTATTTTGTTTGAGGATCTTATCTCATTCTTCTCAGAGCCCATTCTTGCTATTCTATCTCCATATGTAGAATATTTACATCGGCCAGGGCATATGGACTGGGGATGACCAGAGCATGCCAAATTATAGTCTAGTGAGGGATAGTCAAAAGCAGCAGCTTTCATATTTATCCTCAATAGGATATACTTGGTACATAGTGATCAAAGATACAAATGAAATTAAAATTTACCCTAAGTATGCATGATGCAGTCTGTATTTCTTTCCTTTAAAAAATGCTAACAGCAAGTGAAACTATTTTCATTATACAACAATATATCACCCCTCCAGTTAAAAAACACAAACAAAAAAAACCCTGTTGGGGGCCTTCCTGGGGTTGGGATGCAACCTATGAAGCAATCCGCAACCACTGCAGCATGAATTCGATCCCCGGCCAGGGAGCAACCCACATGGTGCAGCAGACCTCTCCTGCTGCTCCCCTCAGCAGTGTGTCAGTCAATCTGCCTGTTCTGTTCCCTGCTCTGTCTCTGGTGAATCCTCTCACCCTCCACACCTCTGGCCTGTACCCCAGTTCTTGTATGCATAAATAAATCATTAAAAAAAAGGAAGCCAAAAAAACCCCTCTTGTCAAAGGACATACCAACCAGCTATTCATCCATACTCTCTATCCCTTATCAAGTGACATCCAGAAAGACTTATGGCTTGATATTACCTTAACTTCTAGTGACAATGTTCTCCTTTACCTAAGGAGTCAGATTATAAGCCCCAATTACTTCTGTGGGATTCTGATTCTTCTTTAAGAAAGTTGGGTCAGTATCTTCCTAGCTGTAGAGCATACTATTTAACTCATGGCATTTATTTATCTAGAAAGACCAAATGGTCACATAAAGAATCTATTTTTACCTTTCTCTAATGCTACTCTAAGCTGTGCTCATTATATTATTTAGCATCCTTTATATAAGAATCCATTTGATAAATTCTTTTATCCCATTCAGCCATTAGAAAAGAGTACTTCTCCTATCAATTCTCCAGTTCATGTAAGAGCAACATACTTACCATGTTTCTTTTAATTTTTGAGACTTATCGCCACTTATCATCACTGTTAGCCTGAGTTGCTGGTGTGACTACTATCTCACTTTATTCAACCTCAGTTCTATTCTTTTTATCCTGCTTTTAAGCACTTCCACATCTTTTTCCAGAAGTGCAGAATAAATAAAAATGCAATTAGATGAAATGGAATCTTCGTGGCATCCTCTTGCCTATGAAGGGAGAATGGGACACCCTGAACAGACCACAGGAGCCTGTTCCACTGGGTCCAACATCAGTGACGTACTTTGTTGGATCCTTTTTGCTTTCCTGGAAGACTCTCTGTTCTGGGCTCCAGTAGAACCCACCTTTTCTCCTGGTCTGTGTATTCTTTTCCTGTTTGGTTTCTTTGAAGCCCATATATTATTTCAGTTCTTTATCTGGCCTGACTGGATAGTCTCAGGCCTGGCAAAAAACATGCTATCTGATTCCAAAGAGGTGGCTCCATCTTGGCTTAGTTCTTTGCTGGGGTCACCTATTTTTCCCTTCCACCTCAAAATTGCAGCTTCTTCCAAACACTCCACAGCACTCCGGCCCTCCCTCTAGGATCTATCTCCAATTGGGAATAAAGTATTTCGCATTAAGTAATACATTCTTTAGGGCATCAGATTAAAGCCCTTCTTTTGTAGGGTCCTCTGATTCTTTTCTTATGTTTTTCAGTTAGGATATTTAGCCAAAGACTAACAGTTAAAACTTAATAATTAATATTTTGGCCATACTAACAGAGTAACATATAAAATAGGAAATACCACAAATCCAGAAAACATCCAAATAGCATTTCAAATGACTTTGAAAATTCTAAGTATGATATCTTCCAAGGGAACATATATCCTTGTGTTGCAGTAATCCCTTAAGAATCATAGTTTTAAGTATCACCTTGATTTGTCTTCTAGGTACCCACACAAAAAGCTGCATTCTCGTATCAATTTTCCTCCAGCAAATATGTCACCATATTAGAAGCTAGAGTTACCAAGGAGAGTCTCTGCTCTCAAGGAGCTCAGAGTCTCAGAGAAGAAAGAGAACTATCAATAATGGACTCCGTCAAAGTAGGCCTTACACTCAAGGTATGTACACGTGTCAGAAGATGAAGTGACAATTTACAGGGACCCTGGAATGCTTGACATTGATGAATAAATGAAACAGGTGTGTGTGAAGGGCATTCAAGGCAAAAGGTATACCATGAGCAAAAAAACCCAGAAATGCTAAAAGGGTACTCTGTAGTTGGGTCTGTGTGGAGCTAGGAGAGGGGGTATGCATGCTCTGTCCCAGTGTCCTCAGCTGTGCGGGCACATGGCAGGTCTCAGCACTATGTGTTGAATGAGACAGGCTGAGAAAGGAGGAGTTAGACCACAGCATAAAGGACTCTAGAGGACTCCCCACAGTAAATTTTATACTGCCGGTAAGAGGGACCCACTGAGTCATAATCAGATTTGAATTTAAAAAATTACTCAGTGGGTTCCCTCTTACAGGCAGTATAAAATTTACTGTGGGGAGTCTTCTAGAGTCCTTTATGCTGTGGTCTGAAGAAGATGTGGTACATATACACAATGGAATATTACTCAGCAATCAAAAAAGGTAAACTCATGCAATTTGCAGCAACATGGATGGAGCTGGAAGGGATCATGCTCAGCGAAAAAAGCCAGAAAGAAAAAGAAAAATACGGGATGGTCTCACTCATAGTAGGAATTTAGAAGACCTAAATAAGGGACCAGGAAAAAGACTAATTATAATAAAGAAAAAATCAAAATCAACAAGCAACTATAAACCAGAGACACAGTACAGGGGGGAGGAGGGGAGTAGAAGAGGGATTAGGATCAAAATAAGGGGGGGTGGGAATTGTATGGGGAATATAACCAAAATGAAAATGCATACATTGTGCAAAAATGAAAAATGATGTAAGAATCAAACAAAATAATTAAATTAAAAAATAAAAAATTACTCAGGCTGCAGTGTGCTGGAATGATCAGAGGGGGGCAAGCTGGCTTCTGGCTGTGGTCCTGGGCCAGGGGAGAAATAGCTCAGCTCCCAGACATGGTGAGAGTAGGAATGGAATCTGAACTCCAAATTTATTTTTATCCTGTCACCAATATTTATATTGGTTCACGGCATTAGGCTAAATGCTATAGGAAGACAAAAGTTTCTTCTTCCTTGAACAAAAAAATGCTTACTAAATACTGACTGTATGCTTTTGGGACAAAAGTCCCCAAACCTGGCTATGCATTACAATTACCAGGGAAGCTTTCAAACAGTACAGATTTATAGATCCCCACCTAAGATTCTGATTTAGAACTGTTAAGATGAGACCCTGGAATCTATGTGTATTTTTACACTTCTATTTATTTAGTCATAATGAATGAATCCATTCCTTATTCTATTTTTCAGGTCTGACACTAAAATACTAAAATCGGTGCTGTAAGAGAAAGGAATAATTCTGCCTCAAAGGCTTATGGTGTCACAGGGAAACAAGAGATGGTTATGAAATGCTGCAAAGCAAAGCCACCCAGAGAATGGATGGCTTGAGGCACACTGGAAGGAGGCTGTGGGGTCTGGAGAGTAGCTCAGGAATGGGCGTGCAAGAAGCCAGAGGAAGAGGCCAACAAGGCCATGAGGGAGGAAGTGACCTTTACTGATCTGGACCGAAAGAACCTAGCTCTGCAGACATGGACAAAGGAAGGGACTGTCAGAAGGAGGCACAGAGTAAGTTCCTGCCCTCAAACAACTTATCATCTAGGAGTAAATATAACAGTTTGAAACAAAGGCTCCACATCTGCAAATGCAAATTGAAAAAGCAATGAGAGTTG